GTGATTTCATATGTCAGATCTTTTTGAATTCTGGAATAGATATTATCCACCCCCTGATCTGTGAACACATTGAAGGTTTTTTTATAATTTCACGTCCACCTCAGTTGTAGTACTGGTCATTTCATACCCACCATCCTATAAAACTCCCTATCTCTGCCTCACTTTTTTCATTGTTTTCTTTTTATATAGAAAACTTTAATTTCATAAAACATGAGTCACATTTTAGGAGTCATGAAATTATTTTTAAATTTGATTAAAAAATCATGAGATTATTATTAAAACACTGAGATTATTTAACAAAGAAATGGTCCATCTTATTCTTAGAGAGGAGTTGCCCTCATTTTGTCTTAACCACTGGGGAGAAAAGCTGCTACTCTGTCCCTATAAGTGACAGAGTCTCCTATCACTTTTTGCTTCTCTTTAAGTCTTCAGTCCAGTTAGCCTTTGACCTTTGCCTTCACATTAGGGCTCTGTGAAACAGTACCGTTTCATTTCGACTTCCGTTTTGCTGTTTCAAAGGGACAGTGTTTCATTTCATCGTTTCATTTTGTTTTGAAGGACTGTTCCATTTTGTTTTGTTGAAACTGTTTCGCTGTTTCAACACGTTTTGATATTTTGCTCATAGGCTATCATGGAGAGTCATAAAAATGCCTATAACTTTGTCATTTCTTGCCTCATTTGAATTAAAATTGCAGGGATGGTAGCCCCTTCTGAAGGCATGAAGCCTGCTAAGTTTCAAGGAGATAGGTGTAGGAGTTTCTGGGAAACTGCACCTTGAGATTCTGAGAGCAAAACTCGTTTGCTTGCCAGCAGCAGCAGCCTGCTGTCATCCTGTGTGCAGATCTGCGGGTCCGCACCCCCAGGAAGGCTGTGGAGCTGTGCCAGAATCCTCTTGGGAGTGCAGGCCCCCAGATCTGCACATGGAATGACAGGAGGCTGCCACTGCCATCTGGGACTAGTGCTGGGCACAGCTCGCACACAGCACCGAGAAGACTGCTGCTGGCGCCAGGCACCAGCAACAGCCTCCTGTCATCCTGCATGCAGATCTGGGGGCCCGCACCCCCGGGGGGGCTGTGGGACTGAGCTCTGTGGGGCTGGTGGAGCTGTTCGTAGTGCAACCCAGTGGTGGGAGACAGGGGAGAGCCAGGGCTGCACTCCAAGCAGCTCTGCCAGCCCCATGGAGCTCAGCCTGGTGGCAGGAGGTGGGAGAGAGCCAGGACTGTGCTCTGAGTGGCTCCACCAGCCCCATGGACCTCAGCCTGGAGGTGGGAAGTGGTGGGAAAGCCAGTGGTAGAGCTGCTCCAAGCTCCAGTGGCTCTCTGCTGCCTCCTGCTGCCAGGCTCGGCTCCATGGGGCTGCGGAGCCTCCAGCTGCCAGGCTGTGCTCACCAGGGCTGTGCTCTGCATCCCCATGGAGCTGAGCCTGGTGGTGGGAGGTGGTGGAGAGCCACTGACCAGGGCTGTGCTTGGAACCAGAGCTGTGCTCGGAGCAGCCACGCCACTGGTTCTCCTGCCGCTGGGCTGAGCTCTGTGGGGCTGGCAGAGCCACTTGGAGTGCACCCCTGGCTCTCCTCTGCCTCCCACCATTGGGCTGAGCTGCACAGAGCGCAGCCCTAGCTCTCCCCCACCTCTCGCTACTGGGCTGTTTCAAAACTTGAACGTTTCGAAAGTTTTGAAACATTTCAAGTGCCCTCATTTCATTTTGAAGCTGTTTTGAATCCTTTTGTTTCATTTCAGTTTCAAGCTCAAAACACGTTGAAACAGCTTCAAAACAAAACACCTGTTGAAATTTTGCACAGCCCTATTTCACATCTCTTATCATTCCCACTGGATCCCTCACTTTCTTGTTTTCTCCAAATTCGCCATCCATCTACTACTTAAGTAGTACATGTCTATCACATGTCCTTTCGTATTTCTGCCTACGTACCCCTGGAATTCCTGCCTCCCTAATCATATTCTCCTGCCTCTGTCCTTGCCTTGGCTACATTCCCTTGATCTTATGTCAGTGGTTCTCAACATTTTTGGTCAGGGCTCCCTCCACAACTTTTTTTTAATTTGGCGGCACCCCTGGTTGAGAATCACTGCTGTGCTGCCTCTGCTTACTTCAGTGCTTCTCAACTAGCGTGATGCCCCAGATTCCTGCCTGTATTAGGGTTTTCTGATGAAACCTAAAATGCGAAGGATCAAAAGCATAACTGAACAGTTTTGTGCCCTAGGTAAAACTCCCTGTACCCCTGTGGTGGTTGGTGGAGGGGAAGAAAGGGGAAAGGAGGATGTTCTTACCTTCCTTGAAGTGTCCCTAGACCCTGCTGCTCCAGCCAGGTAGTACAAATGGCTGCTCCAGCCCAGCTGACTCCTCTGGCAGAGCAGTGTAAAGGGTTGCTTTGGTGCAGCGTAACTCCTCCCAGAGGAGCAGTGCAAACATCCACTTCACAGCCCAGCCTGACGCCACCAGAGGGTTGGTGTAAAATAGCTGTAGCCAGGGTATGCACACTTATCACAACCTTTCCCAGTCCAGCCATACATTTCTCCCAGAAGCAGAGGGATGCAGGACAGTCCCACCTGCCCAGCTCACTTCCATTTCCAGGAGCAAGATATGGGGTTGGACAAGGAACAGCTGCAGGAAGAGTACAAGCTCCAGCTGCACCTACTGCCCAGTCTGTCTCCACAGGAGGTGCACATGGCACACCACCATAGTTGTGGAGACACCCATATCGTGACACCCCTAGAAGAGGTTCACAGCACGCCAGCATGCCATGGCACCCCAGCTGAGAATCAGTGCCTTATGTCTTCCTTTCCTCACCTACATTCCTTAACCCTACAATCCCCCTTTTTCTTCTCACATTCCTCTGCCTCCATCATTTTTCATGCCATAAGGTTTCCTTCTATATTTCTGGGTAATCTAATTTTATTTTTCTATTCCTCCAGACCAGAGGTGGGCAATTATTTTGTGTGGTGCACCACTTAACTAGGTTTGGTGTGCTGTCAAGTGCACACATAAAATCTTTCAGAAGATATCATTTAACAAATGATAGACATAAAACAAGACATATGCTCAAAATTGAACATCTATTATAACACATTTTAATTCTATTTTTTAAAAGAATTTTTTTCCTGATTTATGTATTTTTGAGTAGTGTATATAGAGGCAATTGCATAATAGCTCAAAATAAATTCTTACTCATGTATATACTGTATGTGGGAGGGGTGGAGTGTCTGTGGGGAGGTATGTGGGTGTGTGTGATGGGTGGGTTGGGGTGTATGTGCAGGGCTGCCCACACACTAGGTCTTAGGAGTTGGCCAGGGGTGTGGGAAAGGGAGTGAGGGGGACAAGGGGTGCGTGCAGGAGAGCTCACTTGGGCAGTATGCTGCAGGTACAAGTACAGTCTGCCTGCCCTCCCCCCATCCATCCCACCACTGCCCCTTGGGTACTCTGCCTGGGGATCACACTCTCTTGCCCAAACCTGCCCCATGCCCACCAAACAGCACTGCCCCAGACCTAGCCAGCATGCATAGCTTGCCAGTTGGGCTACCCAAGTATGGCTCAGCTCCCTATGCTTCCAGAGGCTCCTCCTCTTCCTGCTCCTGCTGCACCACTCTGGCCAGGTGGGGGAGAAGCTGCAGCTGGGCAAGCCACCTTCCACCCACTCCACCCACCTGGCACAATGAGCAGCCACCTGCTGGCAGCTGAGTGGGTGGAAGGTGGCCAGGAGCTAGAGCTGAAGCAGAAGCACTGCATGTTGGGGAAGAAGCCATCTAGCTGCAGCTTCCTCCTCACTTGGAGTGGTGAGGCAGGAGGAGGAGGAGTCACTGGAGGCAGGGGGAACTGAGCAATACCTGCACCTGTAATGGGAGCAGCCCCGCCAGGATGTTGTATGCTGGCTGGGGTTGGCAGGCACAGGCCGGAGAAGGCAGAGCTCGGCCTCATGCAGAGTGCCATGGGGGCAGCTGCAGACTAGAAGCAAACAACTGGCAGGCACCCATGCATGGGCCTGATCAAATCAGTTAGTGGGTCAAATCCAGTCTGCAGGCTGTATTTTGCCCATCCCTTCTCCAGACTCTTATGTCCCCTCTTATATATTGCCTCAATCTCACATGAAGCAAGAAGGAACTGATTTATTTACTGAAGGTATCCAGGCTCAACAAACACTAGAAACAATTAGGATAAGTACAGAGAGTCAAAAAGCCCGAGGCTCAATTGATTCAATCTTCTCAGATTAGTCTAAACTGTGTTGATTGAACAGATAAGCAAGTGAACAGACATTCAGTTTTGATTCTGGAAATGCAGCCACATGCCAGAAGCCAGGGGGTGCAATGGCATGCATACCTGCTCAGCTGGAGCAGACAGCTTGGGCAAAGGCTAGCCTGCCCACCCTGTGAGGGGGAGTTTGCAGGTGAGTAGCAAGGTATCCTGGGATGCTGGGGGAGTGTAAATTACCTTACAACTTGAGGGCATCTGGGACAGAAGTTCAATAACTGATTTAACCTAAATCAGTTAAATCTGATACTATATCCATCCAGATTTGCCTTAAACTGGTTTTAGCCATTTTGAAAGAGGTTTATCTACACTGAACTTCTGTTGTGTTACAGACTTAAACCAATTTCTGATCACTTATACCAGTTTATGTGTAATTTCTGTCCCTAGCCTTAGAGTTGACAGTCATTTTCAATAGAGGTAGATTCACTGACATCTGCAAAAGATATAGGAAAAAGGTAGATGTTTTAGCTAATGGCAGTGTGGTTTTGTCCCATTATAACCATGAAGGTAGAAGTCATTATTTGTAAAAGGTTCACATTTTCCAGAAGATATGTGCAACTTAAAAAAGACACCAAACCAAACCCATACTCCTAAATATAAAGACTTATAATATGATCACAAAGAACTTTGGCATCCCAGAATTTCCAGCTTTGGTAAGAATGGCATATTTCTGTATATTTTAAGGGAATATTTAAAAAAGATTAACGCATCCACTAAACAGACCAGTGATATTTCACCCTTACCCTTGCAGTGAAGTCCACAGCAGCTCCTCGATTTAACAGCAATGTCGCTACATTGATATTTCCATAGTGAGCAGCTATGTGCAGCGGTGTGAAGCCACTCTGGGGGGGAAAAACATAAATACATTTAATTTTTTATGTCTCCCTGTCTCTGCAATATTTATATTACAGCTCTGAAAAAAAACTAGTAAGCAGAATATTCTCCAAGTCAATATTCCATTCTGTGCTAGTTTTTACTCAATGACATTTATTTATCAGCTCTCTAAATAAAATGATATTGCTATGCCCAAGGGAAAGAAATTAACATAATTATTTTAAAAGAATAGGACTAGGATAAAACTTTTAGTTATTCCAGCAGAAGGCATTTGAGTATAAAAATGAACCTTTTTAATACAAGAAAGCAATTTCTAAATAGAAATATCTACTTGTTATCTTTATTATTTCAGCCTTGCAAATTAAACCACTTGGAGATTCTTCACAGAAATTTAGATACAAGTTACTTGATGATCCTTGCTAACTAGATTTCATAAATTCAAAGAACATGCAAATTAAAACAACATCAAAGACCATTTTAAATTATTAATGTGGCTTTTTTTTCAAGGGTTAGTACCATAAAGATCAATCTCCCACTGTGGACAATCACACTGGGTTATGTTCAGACACCACAAGTTGTCATCCTAATTAGAAGATGCCTAGCTGATAACATCACTTCAGCAACTTATTTTCATACTGAAGTAATTTTACTTTCTTTTAAAAATGCTAAAACATGCAGCAATTCCATCAGTCCTGCAAAGTATGAAATCTTATTGGAATTAGATGCATTTCTAAATTGTTAGCAAGCCTTTTAGCCATGCTAGCTGTCACTGCCTTGCTTTGAGAGTGTTGCAGATTTAGTACCACTCTAAGATTATTTTATTTGCTGACACCGTCAGGGGTAAGTGTCATGCAGAAGCCCAAAGAATCAGTCCTGGATGCACAATATGACAGGGTTGTCTGCAGCTTTTGACACAGCTGATAAACATCTACAACATTAGAACGCCTGAAACCTTCATTTTCTGCAGTATAATTCTTTTATGATGGTAACTAGTTCCAAAGACTGCTCACCCTTACTTTTAAATCCTAGTTTCAGCTGCAGAAAGCCCTGGTAACTAAACTAAAATCTTCTCTAGCACATGCTACTTCATTTAACCTAAAGCAGATATCTATCCTATACAAGGCAATGCAAAGAGAAGGAGGAAGAAATGATGCAAGAGCACTAAGTTATGGAAGAGTGATGATGCATATATATATTTATATATACCTCTGTTGTTCTATTCACCATCATCTAGGTTAACACATTTGGAAGCAAAGAGGGAAAAAATGAATGGTTAGTTCACCACTGGTGGCATGGATGCAAAAAGCTTTGTGATAGCTATATGGTATGAAAGCTATGATGAAAGCAAAATAGGCACAGAAAGAAAGCTAAGACTGAATGGAAGCTGAATGATTGTATAATTGAAATGTTAATTGTTACATGTTTCTCAGAGTTCTTAAGGTAATAGGATCACATACAACTTTAATCGCATGGTTTGTTAATGATATGATCTCTATAGCACGCTACAGATGCCAGTCTTCATTTCAAATATACCTGATCATTTACTAATATCTTTAATAATAATAATACCTAGTTTTATATTATTTTAGGGTCATTAACCCCAATTTTAAACAAAGGGAATAAATACAAATTAAACTGTATTTTTAATTATGTCAAACTGGAGAAGTGAAGTAATTCCTTGCAGCAACCACTTTTTTTTTAAAGGAAATCTTCATGTGGCAGTGTGCACGTTATTAGTATATAGCTTTGGTTACAACTAACCTTTGATTCCACATCAGCATTATGATCATTCTGCAGCAGCAGAGCAGCAGCTTTTGTGTCATCCTTGCGGGCAGCAATGTGAAGAGCAGGAAGACGAACTTTTCCCTTTGTATCATTTTCAAGCAACAGTGAAACCACCTGGTCATGGCCTTGTTGCAAAGCTACTGCCAAAGGGGTGAACCCATCCTGTAAACATACAAGAATGACACTTGGTAGATATTCAAAGACTTCTGGAATGAAAAGGAAACAGGTGGTATTTATAGCTGGAATATTAAAAGTTGTGTCTAATTCAGATTCAGTGTGTGAGGTTGGGTAAATTAAAGACCCTTATACTCAAACTGAGTATAACTGTTTCAATATCATAAACCTGAGGTTGTGTGTTGGTGAACCAGGGAATAACTATTTAATTTCCTCTGGTGTTTAGGACTGATTTTGTTCAGACATAGAAGCATAAGAACAAATAATTGCATTAGGCTTAAAAAACAAGGAAAATTACTAAAATATTCAACTTGTAAGTATACTCAAGAAAGAAAAATTGAAATGATACTGAATTATAAATGCTGTAACTATGTCCCTGTAGCAAATATTTTCCCTTCCAAAGAACCTACATTTTTCTGAATGTTATGCTCATCTCTATCCAATGCATTACTTTAAAAAATGAAGCTATTTAAGTCTACTAAACATTGCCAGGAATTTGGGTAGTCACTATATAAATTACTTCATTCTTGCTTCAAAGTTTATCTCCCTATTCATGAACATTAAACAATTAAGTGATAGTTAATCTTCTATTAGCTGAAGATGAGCTCCTGAAATAGTGGCAAAATATGGAAATGGAGTAAAATGAAGAAATGGGGAGCTGAAAAAAAAAGAAATAAGGCACTTGCCTAATAGTCTTTATACTGGAACCCTCTAAACACAGAAAGATGAAAGTAATAGATGCTGGCCAATGTTCTAGATATAGTAAAATCCCTGTTATCTGGCATGAGTGGGGAATGGGGGGTACTGGGTATCTAAAAATGCCGGTTACCTAAGACCAGCAGTTTTTGGCCAGAGACAGAGTGGGGGCGGTGGGGAGAGGAGGGGAGAGGGGTTGCAGCGGCTGCACACGAAGCAAGGGGCGGGTGGTGGCACTTCAGTGCAGGATGGTAGGTGGTGGTGTTGGCGGCAGCCACATATGAACTTTCCCCCCCACCCATGCCCACATTCGGTCGGCCGGAAATTCTGGTTAATAGAATGCTCTGGTTACTCAAATGCCGGATAACAGGGATTTTACTGTATATTACAAACAAACTCTTCCTCAAGTGGAGACTATGATCTTTATACCAACACTCCCCGAACTGTTGGAGTTCATAGAGTCTCCTCCTCAGGAAAACTTTTCAAAAACAAAACAAAATCTTAAATAAAAGCCAGGGTTTTGGGGTGATAACTTCTATGGGACTAACTCTTTAGTTGGGAGAGATGTTAGACAAGATTTTGGGCACAATGGGCCCTTCAGATCAACTTTCTTCAGCAAGCTGAGGAAAAGCTCCTGAGAAAAGGCCCAAAAGCTCATCTAACAACTCTCTAAACTATGCAGCTTGTCCGAAAATAGATATCACAAAAACAAACAAGAACAAAAAACAAACCGCCCTCCCCCTACTTCTCACATATTTGTTGGAACATTAACAACACTCCAACCCTACAAAAAAGCCTTACACTCCCAACAAGTTTTAGCAAACAGATTTAAGTTCTGTCCATTTATCTACCAACTGATGGGCCTAGCTATTTAGACTCTGTATTAAGTCCATCACAAGGATATTCAGACCCCAACAGTCTGGCTCACACTATGCTTTTTCTTATGTATGGCAAATATTACCATGTGGAACAGGAACTATAAACACCAGTGTGAGACCTTCCAAAATTTTCTGTTAGATCAAGCCTTAGATGAATTCTAATGCACCCAACTGCTTTTCTAAGCCGGCACTGCAGCAAGAGGTTTATCTGAGGAGACCCTCATCAAATTAATTGCTAAGCAAGTCACATTCAGTTGAATAATGATATTGTTTAGCTGATAACAATGCAATCTGCAATGCTAATTACAGATTCCATAGGGAGCAATCCAGATACAGAAAAGCAAACTTCTATCTTTGTATGAATATATTTCATCACAAGCATTTGTGTTGTACATATTCCCTTTTTTCCCTATAAACACAGTGCCCAGAAGGATATCTACATGTGGTTACAGGTACCATGAATGAGGACAAAAATGCATTTCAACAGTTTAAGGAGGTTGTATAACTATGCCAGCAGAAAGGTTTCTTCCATTGACACACACTGTCTCCACTAGGGGGCTCTATTGATGTAGCTATAGCAGCAGGGTCTCGTCTATTGCTGAAAAGCCTTCAGAATGACACATGACAAAATTAAGAAAAATCTAGCTTTTTTTTTTTTAAGTTGGCCTTGTGAGCACACAGCTGAGTCACCTGTAAAAAGTGGTTGTCCTAGCAACAGAAACCATTCTGATCGGTTGCTTAGAGTTCCTTTTATTTTTAGTGACTTTTAAATGCGAATCGGGGGGAGGAATTGTTGGGGGGTGAGAAAAAAATGGCTGCTAGGCAAGAAGTTTCTCTTTTCGGGGTGGGGGGGAGTGGAAGGGAATGGAGAAATTTGAACTCTTTACTCATGCATCAAAACAACCATTGCATCTTCTCATAGCCTCCATTTCTGATGATCAAAATGCAGTGGTCTATCCATACCATATATAAAGCGATTACTGAAACAAAGATAATTAAACTGTGACTGAGAATATTAACATTGATATGAATGCATTTCCACCATGTGTGATTTGAAGACACAACCCACAAGCAGCCCTTGCAAGTAAGTATCACTATGTCAACAGTTCTATAACTAGTATTTGTGCTTTAAAACCAACACCAACACCCTGAAGAAAAATATTGACTCAAAAATTTTCTAAGATCAAGACAAAAACTGTCCAAGGGTTTTATTATTAATGACTATATCATTACAGGGCACTAATTTACTAGCAAAGAATTTAGCAGAGTGACAAAGGACAACAGGCATATATTAAAGCTATTAAAAAATAAATACCCCCCCTCACAACAATTATGGCCATATTAATCTCTTATATAATTATATTATATATAAAATCTATTAAACTTCAAAGGAGCTATCCAGGCTGAAATCAGATCATGCTGTTTAATCAAAGAGATGTGGGGAAAATTTTAAACTCTCTTCCCACACAAAGGTCAAAGAAATCAAACAGATACATGAGAATAAGAAAGGAATACATATTTTTTTTCCGAAAGCTATACAGTCACAAGTAACAACATATTTTATACTCATAATCTATTTTTTGTGTCTAATAATGACATTTTTTGTAAAAAGTGTATTAATAATTAAACAGTGGTAAAGGTATTGAAAACTATTTTTTCAATGTATTTGTAGAATTTACCATTTCTTATTTGGTGTCTGGGGGCTTCAGTAATCTTTAAATAGAGTAGTAGTTAACTGAAATAGGCCCTGGATTATAAACTAATTACCACCAAGTTCTGAAACACAATTTCATCAATTCATTCAATTCCATCAGCAATTAATAATTTTGGGTTAAGTGCTCACTTCAGAAAAAACACAGTGAAACATTTCACAGGCAAAAGTATACATATTAGTACACTGTTGCAAAAAGCTAACTTGGCAAAGAAAGTAATGTTTATTTTTAACGTTACTGTAAATATATATAGACAGAGGAAATTTTTAAAATAAAAATTATTGCTTCCTAAAGAAAACTGATTTAAATAGGAGTAGCCAAATACAATGTAGCATTTTAGAGAGAACACATGCTTGGCACTTTCTTAGTTCTGCATTTGAGGTACTGTATTTACTCAAATACAAGATTGCCCCCAAATAATTAGATTCTATATGTGGAAAATTTATAAATTTGTTATAATTTTCCAGGCACAGAATCTAATTATTGGAAGTTTGCCTTAATGTGTCCCCTTCCTTTTGCTACAGCAGGGAAAATAGATCTGGGGGGTCAGGTAAGTCCCCTCACCCCCCTAACTTCTTCCCCTTGTTATCCCTTTCCCCCTTGCTTACTGTCAGACCCTGATCTCCCTGAGCATGTGGCAGTGAGAAGCAAATTTGAAAACACTGACTTTGCATTATAGGTACCCACAGACTTAGTTAATCCAGAATGATGCATTTCACCTTTTCTGAAACTGCTACAAGTTTTAGCACGGGTACTCTATTAAACACACTTCTAAACAACACTTTTGTACCTACTTACATAGTATTAGAAACTTTTTTAAAAATGTACAAAACGTCATAACAAACCCATAATACACATAAAACTCAAAACATCATCGATCTCAACGTACACTAACATATCATAAACTGACACAATTATCTATTTGGAATTCATGCCCATCATAACACAAGTTAAACAAACAACCCCCGACTTGGGTTTACATAATATAACTTCCAGTTTCAGTTCTTACTTAACCCATAACCCAGTACATCCTGACATTCCCATCTGTCATAAACTGCTATACTCAATTTACCACTTTTACCAGCACTCAACAACCTCTAGTTTCCTTAATAATCTTTTCTTAACACACCATTCAATGTCCCCACTACCACCTCCCCACTGAAACCCCTCCTCCTCTTATATCCTTCCTTCAACCAATACCCGCTGGGATGTAGCATTACAAACTATGCATGATATTGGTACAAAGCCAAAAGGCTCAGGATTTACCAAAGAATTCACTAGGCTGGGTCCCAGTGGAGACAACAGCATTTCAAGCCATGGTGACTCCACAGCTCAGTACAGCTCAGTATGCATATGTACTCCAGATATCCCCCACAAAAGATCCATGTGCTAATTAGTAGGGCTGTGATAAGATTCAGTCCCTGATTCAATTCAGCAGAGATTTGGCCTGATTCGGTGGCCGAATCTCCAAATCCAAATCGAATCAAGAGACCCTTTAATCTTTCCGAATAGAGTTGGAACCCTTTGAATCAATTGGGAGATATCTGTAAGATTCGATGATTCAGATATAGACAGAGATTTAAATGTTTTTTCTACATACCTCAAGGTACCAGGTGGCTCATGAATGCTGTGATGCTGGGGCGAATGGAGCGCCTCCAGAGCACTCAGCAGCAAACCTGGAAGTGGACCAGAAGTACTTCCAATCCAGTTCCGGGTCCACTGGGGAGCATGCCGGGGGGGGGACCCCCCATGCCTTCCTGGCTTGGCAATGGGTGCCTCCTGGATCTGGGAGTGCACTCAGGGTCCCCCCATGGCTGATTGCTGAGCCAGAGAGGTGTGTGTGTGTGGGGGGGGGGGCCAGTGTGCTCAGCAGCAGAGCCAGAAGTGGACAGGAATTACTTCCAGTCCACTTCTGAGTTCACTACCAAGCATGTGGGCCCCCCACCCGTACTCCTGTGGGATGCTCCATCCACCCCACCATTGCCGCATTCATGAGCTGTGCCTGGTACCTTGAGGTACGCAGAAAAAACATTTAAAACTGTGTCTATGGCCGAATCGGTGATTCTCCGAATCATCATCTAATCTTCAGAATTGGATTCAACCAAATTGAATAGGGGACAGTGATCCAAATCAACAAATCAAATCACCGTCCCCAATTCAGGCCAAATCCGAATCAAATATGGCCTGTTTTGCACACCCCTACTAATTAGCCTCCAGTCATGTCTGGAACCAGGAGTTTTTGTCATGAGTCCTGGGATGCTCTGGAAATTTATATGTAGATTTTCATCTTAGTTGGTCTAATAAAAGGTATCATCTCTGAACCAAGAGTTCCAGAGTTTTGCATTTCTTTTTGTCTCAGAAGAACATGACTACCAAATACATCCCTATAAATTTTGGCGTATCCCAGGACTCACAGAGCAACCTGGCCTGACTCTACTTCATGTTGGCTGGAGCCAAACTAATCATATAAGACAGGCTAAGAGAGGGGATGACGAAGGGATTCTGGGTGAACTGTTTGAGGCCCCATTTGTTGACGTTTGTCAGACATTTAAGGCTAGTGAAGAAACAGGACTCATTGGAAACAGGAAAGAAAGGTGCAGCTCAGCTGTGGGAGTGAAAAGGAAGTAAAAAAGTATGCAATGTAGTGGCTCATAATGACTTGAAAAAGAGTCAGTGCTGAGAAGGCTGAGTGCAATGGGCACTACCATATAGCTTATTCAAATGGGCTGCACTAACATATCTTTGTGGTAAGTTCATATCAGCATATGCCCAGTATGGACCATGTGTTTTATAGTCATGCTCAGTGTTGCTGTATTTAATCAACTTCAGAGTTGGTTTCCATTACTGAGCACATGCTGCTTTTGGCAGCAGTTTAATGACAGACAATGTATTTAATGAGGTTTCCTTGTATGCAATTATAAGATGAGGAGTTTTTTCCCCCATACTGATTGGGGGCAAAAAACCTTGTCATATATTTCAGTAAATATGGCATTTGAAAAATATGCAGATTGAAATAAGCAGATTTTAATGCAGTATATTTAAAAATGTTAATGTCTCTGTGCTGTTGCTTTCACTACCACTCTGAATATTTTGCACTTACACTTCCCCTTTCCTTTCAGGAATTCATTGCTGAGCCAGCATTACCAGCTGCATCTTAAAGATAGGGAAAATGAGGCACATAGGAGGTAGGAACTTGTAAGTGAAATGGAGAACTGTGGTTTCCTAAGTTAGTTCTATTCAGATAATCAAACAGCCTACCAGTTATAACCTCTAGTTTATAACCTCTAGATGCATCTAGTTCTAAACCTCTGTTTATTAAAAACCAGAACTATAGTGTTTAGTGTGACCAGAACTAAGTTATAGTGTGATTTTCTTATTTGATACAATGTCTTTTTTAAAATTAAGAACTACTAATTTTATTAATGATTAAAACTGTTGGAATGTCATTTGCTCCAAATTGCTTCACTGGTTTGTAATTTTCCATGTAGAGGACTGATTTTGTAAAGGCTGTTGAGCATAACCTCTCCAGAAATTTTACTATGTGCAGGAGAGGAACCTGAAACAAAGGAACACAGGAAGCAAAACCTGAACTTTTACCTCTGTAGCAAGACTCTGACTTGCACCATTGTCAAGAAGAAACTTAACAACTTCAAGGTGATTTTCTTGGGCGGCCATATACAATGGAGTGAATCCATTCTGAAAGAGGAAAATATATGTATAAATAATTTCTGTAATCTTTTAAAAGCAATACTTTTTATTGCACATTAGCAACAGTTCTTCATTCTGTCCCCAACCACCTATTACTTTTTGTCTCATTGAACAGCTGAAATGGTATGGAATGTGCCTGTGCTTGGCTAGCTGCCTTTTCATGGGCATTGGGGGATCTCAGGATTAATTATGAGTGCTTTACAACCAGGGTTTCTTCAGCATGTCTCAACAAATAAAAATATTTCTCAGATTATATTTGACTGAATCACTTTAGTCAATATGCCGGTTGCAAGTGATTAGAGTTTAAACTAATTCATGAATAATTTTCAGGTGAGTCAGTTTCTGGTCTCTTATATTCAACATTTTGTCATTGGTCCAACAATAAAGACCACGATCTCTCAAATAAAACATTCAAATTGGATTTATATTGTACAAATAAACAGAGCATTAGCAATAAAGTCAGCAATACTTCCTTCCTTCCTGTAATCTAGTATTATGTATATATATTCTTTCAATCTGGCACCAATGTCCTTCCTAATGACCTCTGATAGATTTTGTATGTTCCATATCCTTTCATGTTATGCAGATTAATAAGTGGAATGATTGAGTTTGCTATGGATTACTGGGACTGTTTTATTTCTAATAGAGAATGGTCTAGAAATGCTTTGCATTTTAGTGGTAAAAGTGCTGATTAAAACAAACTGCAGCAGTTTGGTCTGAGCCTAGGAATGGAAATTAATCAGAAGATGCAACACAAAAGATACTAGAAAATAGTGGAAGGAAGACACTAGTGACATTGAATTAAAAATCAAGAAGTACATAAATGAAAGTTTTTAGACTATTAACTTATATCCACAGAATTAGGCTTTGGCTGTTCATATAATTGTTGAACCTCAAGAAAAGTGTGAAAAATACTCGTCTTTAAGCAATTCTGGTGACCAAAACTCTCTATGGCCATCTGACTATCATCAAGTTTTAAGATGATCACTAAACATAAAAAATAATAGCAGTGAAAAGGATTATAAGGGAAAATTTGACCAAACCTAAGCAAACCTGATATTAACTTTTAGCTCAGTCGGTTAGAGCATGGTGCCCATAACACCAAGGTCAACACCAAGGTGTTGGTTTAGTGTGTGTTTAGGATGGGATTGTCTCCAATCGCCTTCCCTTTCCTCTCTTCAGCTCTCATTCTCCCTGAGATCTTCCCTGAAACTTGTAGTTCCATCCCAACCTAAAAACTCATTTACTGAATGTGATGATAGCAAAAGCAAAGACTCATTTCTACCACCAGTAGTTCTGTGCGGTTTCACATTTGTGCTGCACCTTATGTTTCAGTTTAAATGCAGTGTTTAGTGTTGTCTGGAGAATTTCTAAAAGGGGAAGGCACAGAGCAGATATGAGATGTGAAGAAACTGAAACTGAACCCAAACTGAAAACATATTTTAACATTTCTGGAGAGAATGATTCCCTGCCCCCAACATCAAAGCCTACTGGGAGATGGGGAAGACGGGAAATCCCAAAGATTTGCATGGAAAATCCCAAAGATTGACATGGAAAATCCCAAAGACCTCAGTGGACTCACAGAGCAGAACAGAGCTAAAACCTTGAGAGGTGGTCACTGGAGAGGGAGCTAAAGCAAGGCTTCCAGGAAGGTGGTAGAAGCGTGGAAAAAAACCCCCAAAGGACAGGGAAAG